TAGTTCTTTTTTGGCTTAAGTCCCATCCGGGATTCAAACCCACACTTCCAGAGTGAGGCACTCAGCGTCAGCGATCTAACCCAGCCTCCAAGGCTTTCAAGAAATGAAAGCCCGACAACTGGAAGTCTAGATTTAGACTTGTCAGAGGGGTAAAAAAAAGTAGCTTGATCAAGTGATCTTGACTAACAGTTGTCGGACTTTCATTTTGTGGACGCCCCGGTTGCTGTGTGGGTAAGATCGCTGAGCAAAGAAAACACTCGTTGATTGATTCGTTACCCAATTGATCGTACATTGTCTATATTGGTTAATGGAAGCAGTATAAACATTCACACATTAAAGGAGATCAGTTAAGTATGTGGTCTTGGTGTGAATGTGCGATCGCTTGTGTCCCCCATAGATACGTAGCTACCTATACGAAGGTGAGAAGGGATTATGCCGGGGTAATCATCCAGGTAGAACTTCAAATGTACCTGCAGCCCATGTTTGGATAACACCGAATTCAGGTCGTTCTCGTCGTCAGTTGAATGGCAATTAAGGAAGATTTATATTTAATTTGTGAACAAGATATTGAATGCGGGCTCACTTTCTGCATGTATTCCCTTCCAGCTGGATTAAGGTGTAAAGAAAGCATATTTATTAAAGGGAAGTTAGGGTGATCGGGATGATCTGGATTAGACTAATGCTTGTAGAGTATCACATTAACACAAAATACGTAACACATCGTGAAATATTGTGCATTTCTTTTTGGTGTCCTGTCTCCTGTTCCATTGTTTGTACATGCATTAACACTTCACTTACTGACTGAAACCCACAAACGTTATAAGCAAATTCTGCTGGCCAAATATACGATTCCGACAAGCATGTGTTTATGAATAACTATCATAGTGATGATACCAGGTGTTCGCGAAAAGGTGGGCGTATCCTGCCCCACCGGTGAGACAAACACTTCACTGGTTCAGTGGCCTAAATTCCGTTTTCCGATAAATTTAAGAATATTCACGTTTGATATAAACGACGTTACTTGGCTATTCAATGAAGTCAATCAATGTACAGTTTACAGCTTTACAGATTCTATTGTATCTAGTGCTTTGGTTGACAGTTAGTCACGACATTAACAGTCATGCGTTCTGAAACATAATGTGGGATGTATTTCACGTCAGCCTGTAACCTTGAAAAAGATGTTTAATGTTTTAACCACGCGAACAGCATTACCGTGGAGTCTTGACACTCAAATGACGAGCTTTTTTTCCCAAGTGAGATATGAATGCAATACCAGTCTATGGATATCCCAGTACTTTGGAACAAACGGGAGCCTGGGCAAATATGATAATCAAGTCATTATTCAATGGTGTAGCAAATGCATCCGAATATGACTACACTGCCAGTTTATATGGATTTGTACTTTTTAAAACCCAATAAGATTTATAGTAAGTATCCGAATAAATGATTTATATATCTTTAACACATGAATATTACTTTCTACAATGTGTATGTTCTTTATAAGCATTGTAACTGAATGATACTAGAACCACATGACTGTCTCAGAAGCATTTTGTATCCTCCCCTATCCCCCACCCATCAGTCTGTCTGTTTGACCCGCTGTGACATTTTGGAGAGAAATAAAGAAAACTAAATTGTTATTTTATTTTTACTTCAGTTTTCTAAACTGAAAATATATATACTGCCAATAATACACATTGTAATCTATACTATTCCATTCTTATAATGTAACAATTAATAATTCTAATTATGCTCCTGTTATTTTTCTTCATGGTCTCGTAATCTTACTTTATTCTTTGCTTATCTAAAACATAAACTACGGATCACTCAGATAAAAATCAAAATCAATTTGTATGTCCACATGTCAGCTTAATGTGGGGTAAAATCCCAATAGGCGTTGGTGAGGTACATTTTAATCACTTACTTTGGTGAAAGTCACGATGACGACGTGGTCGCAAGTGTCTTTGGAGTACAACTATCTCTGACTTTTAATTGATGAATTCCTGGATTTTACCACGACGGCAAAAGCAGTTCCACAGTCAGCGAGCAGAGCCCTGGGTCTTATCATTGCTAACAGCAAAGCCCTGGGTGGTCTCCCCTACGATGCGTATTCCAAAGTATATGATGCAATTGTGCTACCTGTGATTACGTATGGCGCATCAGTTTGGGGAACTAGAGAATTTTCTACAATTACAAGATTCAAAACAGAGCGTGTAGACATTTTCTTGGAGTCGTAAAATATACTCCTAATGATGCAGTACAGGGGGAGATGGGATGAACCCCTATGTGTGTCAATCTAAGGAAAGCCGTGTTCCATCAGTGGAGAAGATTGGTGAACATAAATGTGGATGGATTGAACAGAAGAATATTCATCCTACTGGACAATTACCGAGTATCAAGATTTAAGATATGAAACTACAGAATTTACAAGTTCTTTGAAAACCAAGGGTCGAGTAATTTCTGCAACGTTGAAACTTTTATATCCAAGAATGTGATCGATAGTGTTATTAATGCATATGAACTGAAAATATTGGAAGCATGGAGAGACAACATTCGACAAAGTGATAGAAAATTGAGAACTTATCGTCTTTTCAAACAAGATTACTGTAGGGAACCTTATACTCAAACATGCCCAAAAACTTCAGGATTGCATGAAGTAAATTTCGCTGTGGTATGACGGACTGGCCATTCAACAATGGTTATGCCCTTTTTGTGACATCTGCATCGAAGATGAGACACATGTTCTTTAACATTGAGCAGTATATTGAGACCTGAGGTACAAGCTAGTGCAGAACGCAGCGCTACTATTACCGCAATACAAACACTCTGATATTGATAAGATGTGTGTTTTACTGTCATTTACTAGCTTAGTTTTAATTTCGACCAAAACCTTGTATTTAATCTTAACCTGACGAAGAGGGCTTTTATTGTCCTGAGTTTATTATGTATTTCTATTTCATTTCAGGGAATGTTGTTGTAAATATATTATGTAAAACCTGTTTTGTGTATGGTCTCTCGCAGTTCTTTTAGAATGGCTTGTGTACTTTGATAATAGATGTATATTATTTAATGTATATATTGCTGTACATAAGGTGAGACCCTAATAAACTGTCTGTCCGTCTGTCGGCATGGTGTATAGTGTACAGACATCGAAATTTAACGAAGCTTTAGTAATCATGGCGATCTTAGCGCCTTCGCCTTTGTAACTTCCATACTCTAACACAGACTTACACTGGTGTTTTAGCGCGAACGTCGCCTTGTGCTAGTGGCTCCTGGACTTCGCCAGATTCACGGCACATTCGACCAAATATATTGAAATTGTAATTGAACTAGACAAACAACAGAGACATACCATCGATTAAAAAGAACGTTTGTGATCTGACGTGTGAGAGTGAGGGAAGTGAGGACACTAAACGAGCTGAAGATCAGTATTTATTCATATCATACAAAGAAACAGTCCATCACAAGACGGTATCACAGTGTGGTTGACAAAACAGGTCAACGTATGTATGAAGTATTCCGTGATTACCTCAACATTCAGGTACCAACATAATCAACAATAACAGTGGCATTAAACAACAAATCTCTGAAATTCAACACTCGGATAACAGGTGACATTTCACATTTCAGCAATTCATCTTCCAGATTACCATGGAGACATCTTAAGCGGAGACGAATCTATTATGAGACGTCGACTGCTCATGCTCTGTTTTTCTCCTGCTGTCCATGACTTGGACTTTACTCGGAAGTGACGTAGTCGTTTGGAGTAATCCTGGTGCATCATGGGGACGTAATTTCTTGGATTGCACTGAGACTGAAAGTTATAAGAAAGTACTTATTACCATACGTGTGTCACATTAATTCACTGATAACACAACATCCGCATAAAGGTAGTACAGATAAGTTTAAATTTAGAATGTATATTAAAATAAATATTAAAAGGTATGCATTTAAATAAGGACATATTTGCATTTTACTACAAGTAGTCCCGTCAGTTTCAAACATTCGCCAACCTACCTGATGTTGTTCATAGAACTTTTTGTATCCGCCATCTAACAGGTATACTTCCGGGTAGAAGAGGAAAGGGTAACGGTCACTGTTCAGCTTCCGGTCAAGGTTTCTGAGAAGTCTCAATCTGTATCAGGAGATATATAATTGAAATAATTGTTACATAAGGTAAAACAAATGTAATTATTTTGGAAAGTGCAGTAAACTTATGACCGGACGATCTTTTACGTCGACTGTTTCAAGTGCTATACGCAAGAAACAACGTACAATGTATTAACAATAGAAACCGCGAAATCAAATTTTCATGTGAACAATGGTAACTTTTGAGTCTTTTACGTGAAATGCAACTTTGTTGTATGTAAGAAAAAATACTTACAGTTTCGGGCCTCTCTCTGATGAAAATTCACAATGGAAGACCAGGATGTTCCGTTGAGTGGAGTCCCTTCTCTGTAGACTGGTCACTAAGTCTGTGATCAGAGCGTGGGTGTGAAGGTTCTCGGCACCCTGAAGTAAATGATGTAAAAATATATGCTTAGCAACATATTGATGTCAGTTGGTTTTTTTTAAGTATTAAGCAAAGATATTACATGAACAAACAAACATGGATTATATTCCTTTATACAAGTTTAAAGACAGCAGCATACCTCAATGTGACCACCTTCATACTCATATGGGTAACGACAGTCAATGATCCTGTAGCTGGAAATGACGTCATTGTACTGTCCTGCTAGAAGCTGACTGACTGTGTGTGGAGTCACAGATTTGAGATCCTTGTGTCTGCCTTGTATCGTTGGGAGACTATGAACCTGAAAACATAATGGCAACTTGAAAATGTGGATTTCCTTCTCATTCAAATAGATTAAGCAATTCACAAGATCTATATAATCGATATTAGAATGGAAGGATGAATCCTCAACTAACCTGTGAACCATCACCGATGAGATCAACTTCATTTTGCATTTTGTCGACTGCTGTCTTCATGACCTCTGACGTTACTTCGGCTTGGAGGTTATGTCCACAGCTGGCTGTTTTTTGTTTCTTAATCTGCCTTGCTTGAACATAAACTCCGTCATCACCATTGTCACGTTGTCTCTTCCCTCCGAACAGTGACTTCCTTGTTCCATGGAAACCAGCTTTCCTGTCATCCAAAGGTTTTGGGGACACCTGAGGAAGAAACATGCAAACATTAAATTTCAATGTTTGCTAAACAATTACATGTAAAATGAATCACACTTCCTTTTTTAAAATCATCTTATTCAACCATTTAAATATTCATTATTCATATCTCTCTATATCCATTGCTGCGCATATATCACTATCTGCCTTAAGTAGCTGTTGTCAGTTCGATTATACATAGTTCCACAAACCTCACTGTCACTGCAAAGGGACTCAAAGCCACTATCACGTGAGTTTTCGTCGTCGAAATCAAGGCTCTTTGGGATAAAGACTTCTTGTATACATTCTCTTCTTGCCATTGTGGGACAGATTTCGTCCAACTATTCTGAATGTTAAGAAATTTATATCTATGGTCAGGTGTTTGCAAGTTATGCAGTTGCCAGGGGAATGATGCTGTGTCTTGCATCTGTTGTATATATACCTGTACTAAAACAACATATTTACATTACAACGACAACACTCGTTGATCGATTCGTTGAAAACTTATATAAACATTAACACATTAGAGGAGAACGGTTAAGAATATGGGCTTGGTGTGAAAATGCAGGATTGCTTGTGTCCCCTGTAGGTATATGGAGCTACCTATACGAGGGTGTGAGGGGGATTATCCTGGGTATAATCACCACGTACGACATCAAATGTACCGTTAAACCATGTATTGATAACGCAGGGTTCAGTTCGTTGTATTCGTCCGCTGAATGACAATTAAGGACGATTTGTATTTACATGGCTAACGAGATGTTTAATTAAGGCGCATATTGAGCGTGGATTCCCTACTGGCTGTGTTAAGGTGTGAAGTAAGCAGGTTTATCAAGGGCGAGTTAGAATGATCTGGATTAGCTGGAATAGATTCATGTTTGTAGAGAATGTGTTGATAGTTAGGTGTCTTTTAATCTTTAAAAGGAAGCACATGGAGAAAGTTATTGTTTTTCTTTTATTTCTTCTGTGTGTGTGCGTGCGTGCGTGCGTGTGTGTGCGTGCGTGCGTGCGTGCGTGCGTGCGTGCGCGCGCGTGTGCAGCTTCAGCAGAATCAAAATAATGATTTGACTTTAAGCTGTGATTACTGTGTATATGTCCACGTATTTGCATCTTCTTGTTTTCATCGAATATAATAGATGGAAAACGTTCAAAAGCTTCACGTTATTCCGACAATTATTGCTGTAAAGTTTCTTGTTGGACGTTAGACTCATTGCATAAGCAGTATTTGATAGTGATCCAGATATTTCTAGAGATATTATATGATGATAGAAATATTTTCTGTCATTTTATTTAATTTTGGTATTCGGCTCAAAGTCATTTACAGTAGAACAAGAAAGATACAGAGAATATCACTCGAGACTCAGTCTCATAATAATGCTGTGGTTATACCACGAATGGGACACCAAGAATGGCCTTCACACATTCGACCAAAATAGGGAATCGAACCTAGGTCTTCAGCATGCCGAGCAAACGACTTGATATAACACTGTTATGGCATTGAGAACATTGCTGGCTGTTCCAAAAATGTACACTAAATATAATCCAAACATGGCTATTTCATACCACCCAGCAAATCAGAACACTGTCCAACACTTTATATTTGTGACAGATCATTTACCTTTTGGTTGCAAATACGTTTTACATCAATATTCCTACACAAATTGACGTGTTAATAATTAAATGTAAATGACCACAGCTCCAGCATTTGGTGTTTACATTTCGCAACGTTTGAGAAACAATCGCGCTTGTTCTTTCTACAAAGGTTTCAAAGAGCGTCAAAAGACTCTTGCTCAGACGTTGTTGTTCTTCCCTCTTCCATCCCACATGTGACTAATAAAATCTGGAGTTTTGAACGATTCTTTGCAATGTTTCCCAAATGACTATACACTTGCGATAACAAATGAGTCCAATATTTAATAATTCAACAATACTGATTCACTTTTAATGAATAACAACAATGTTTGGTGTATGTCTTGAGAAACCCACTACTTGTCTACAAAACTTGTTTTGTACATTAATGATATTTGGTGATGGAATGAAATCCAAAACTTCACTCCCGTACAATAAAGTTGGAAGACATTTGACATCAAATATATGTAACAATACCTTCGTTTGCAAATTATCAAAAAACATTGTTGATAATTTAAGGATTAATGATACTTTCCATACTTGCTCAGCTAGGGTGTTTTGTGTAAAATAACATGATTCAGAACACGAAAAATGGAACCCAAGAACATTTTTGATGAAACTGTTTTCCATTCAGAAGAATGTTTCGGAACGTTTTAATCTGTCAGCCTTTCTGAACACAACTACCTTACTCTTATCAACATCTCCTTTTAGTCCGCATTTATTGCAATACAAAATAACTTGTCTAGTCTCTTTTGTAAACTTAAAGCTGAGAGATCAAACGATACAATGTCACATAAAAAACTCAATAAATATTATCGTGTGTCTGAAAACCATATCTAAACCCAGCCTGCTCCTGAATGAAAAATGTTCCCGCTTGGCCCAATGATTTAATTTATTAATAAAAACTTGAGGGAAAATTTACCCGAAACTTCAAGCACGGTCAACGGTCTATAGTTTGGTGGACAGTCAAATCAACCCTTCTTATAAGGGAAATAATAAGTCAATAGGACCATTCAGGTGGATACATACCTGTGGATAAAACACTGTTAAATAAAGCTTTTAGCAAATTAATACTTAAATCTAGTTCATTTTCGAAAATTTCAATTGGAATTCCACTATATCCGGGAGCTTCACCAGTTTGCATATCTTGAATTGCATTAATTATATCTTGATAACAGATTTCTTCATCCAAATCATCAAAATCAACGGATGATTCTACGAGATTATCATTAACAATAAAATGTTCCTCATCCGCTGATACATGCAATCCCTGAAAAAGCTGCTGAAAATGATTAATCCATACAGACGTATTGTTGTTGACAAAATTGATTTAACTGTTCTCCAAAATAACTTATTGTCTTTTGCAGAAAGCACATTACAAAGTCGGTCTGTAAAGTTTGAAAATGCTAATGACAACTTAGAAGCACACAACTGGTAAAGAATGACCACAACTCGACGTAACATTGTCGATCGCAGTTACTGTTACTAGCTTGAACTGCACGCAGAAAGCGCCGAGTTGTGTTACATGCAGACCAACACTCCGCGTCATACCAGTTGTGTCGCTTCGAAGACACTTTTCTTACAAAAGTCTGCACAAGATTGGATGGTACAGTTTAACATGGATAACGCCTCAGCACCTCACTATTGGCAACATAGTAATTATTTGAACAATTTGCGGGGTTCCAAGAAGCACTTTTCATAAAAAGTCATAAAAAGTTAAAATCCTTTTGGGGAAAAGTGAAATAATTTTAAAATGGTGTTCTACTATAAAATGGTAAATAGAAGCATATTATCATTCTGATCTCGTTCTGGTCCACTTTAAGTAATTATTTGCTAAGGAATACTTCCTATTTACATGTTATTAAATGCAGAACTAAAAACTATGAAAATAATTTTATTCCCACTTGAACGAACTAACGGAACATTTTATCGCCAGATTTGACTAACCCTGGTTCCTCATGATATTTTAAACGAATTATTAATAAAATTGCTGATGGTACACAACAATTTTACTTTGACTGCGTCTAAGACTAAGATGTAGTGACTTGAATGCCTATAAGTGCGATAGACACATCTGTGAAGGCCCTTCTTGTTCCCATGGTTCGGTATGCGAGGACACTGCTCATTGTTTCTTATATGTCTAATTTGCTCATACTTCTATACCATGGGATAGTACATCAGTTTGGCATCTTATGGAAACTTGCCTAGAAATCGGAAAGATTGAACCAAACAATTTTGGCATCTGTACGTGAATATTTTCAAATTGATCATTAACCAGTTTATATAGCCTATTACATGCACCCGACACACCTTCATCTTATCCACTGGCATTATCTCCAAGTTATTGCTACCTTTACTGTAATTTCATTTTCGATTGAAAGAATTACTGGAAAAGTATTCATATAAATCGCACGACTTATTTTCCAATCCAGTCCGTGTAAACCAAATGGAAACCACAAAGGTTCATACAGTCTTAAAACGTAAGTCTTCCAACAAAGGTTGGGATGCACTTGTTACTGAAGTTACTTGTTCAAATTTGAACCAATTAGTTATATACATTTGCATTTTTTCATATTCGTGATAACATTTTCTGGTATAGATTCTAGTTCTTTTGGGGGGTTAAGTCCCATCCGGGATTCAAACCCACACTCACAGAGTGAGGCACTTAATCGCCAGCACACAAAGTCAGCGACCTAACACAGCCACCAAGGCGTTCAATAAATGAAAGTCCGACAACTGAAAGTCTAGACTTAGACTTGTCAGTACCTTGATCAAGTGATCTTGACTACCATATGTCGGACTGTTATTTTGTGGAAGCCTCGGTGGCTGTGTGGGTAAGATCGCTGAGCAAAGAAAGACTCGTTGATTGATTCGTTACCCAATTGATCGTACATTGTCTATATTGGTTAATGGAAGCAGTATAAACATTCACTCATTAAAGGAGATCAGTTAAGAATGTGGGCTTGGTGTGAATGTGCGATCGCTTGTGTCCCCCGTAGATACGTAGCTACCTATACAAAGGTGAGAAGGGATTATCCCGAGGTAATCATCCAGGTAGAACTTCAAATGTACCTGCAGCCCCTGTTTGGATAACACCGAATTCAGGTCGTTCTCGTCGTCAGTTGAATGGCAATTAAGGAAGATTTATATTTATTTTGTGAACAAGACATTTAATGCGGGCCCTCTTTCTGCATGTATTCCCGACCCACTGGATTAAGGTGTAAGAAAGCATGTTTATTAAAGGGAAGTTAGGGTGATCGGGATGAGCTGGATTAGACTAATGCTTGTAGAGTATCACGTTTACACAAAAAACGTAACACATCGTGACATATAGTGTATTTCTTATTGGTTTCCTGTCTCCTGTTCCATTGTTTGAACATGCATTAACACTTCACTTGCTGACTGAAACACACAAGCGTCATAAGAAGATTCTGCTGACACCAATGTACGATTCCGACTATATCACAAGCATGTGTTTATGAATAACTATCATAGTGATGATACCAGGTGTTCGCGAAGAGGTGGGCGTATCCTGCCCCACCGGTGTCAGCGTTACAAACACTGCACTGGGTCAGTGGCCTAAATTCCGTTTTCCGATAAATTTAAGAATATTCATGTTTGATATAAACGACGTTACTTGGCTATTCAATGAAGTCAATCAATGTTCAGTTTACAGCTTTACATATTCTATTGTATCTAGTGCTTGGTTGACAGTTAGTCACGACATTAACAGTCATGCGTTCTGAAACATAATGTGGGATATATTTCACGTCAGCCTGTAACCTTGAAAAAGACGTTTAATGTTTTAACCACGTGCACAGCATTACCGTGGAGTCTTGACACTAAAATGACTGGCGTTTTTCCCAAGTGAGATATGAATGCAATACCAGTCTATGGATATCCCAGTACTTTGGAACAAACGGGAGCCTGGGCAAATATGATAATTAATTCATTGTTCAATGGTGTAGCAAATACCTCCGAATATGACCACACTGCCAGTTTATATGGATTTGTACGTTTTAAAACCCAATAAGATTTATAGTAAGTATCCGAATAAATGATTTATATATCTTTAACACATGAATATTACTTTCTACAATGTGTATATTCTTTATAAGAATTGTAACTGAATGATACTAGAACGACATGACTGTCTCAGAAGCATTTTGTATCCTCCCCCATCCCCCACCCATCAGTCTGTCTGTTTGTCCCGCTCTGATATTTTGAAGAGAAATAAAGAAAACTAAATGGTATACCATAACATCAATTAGATCAAGACAAATTATAGCACATTGTTATTTTATTTTTACTTCAGTTTGCTAAACTGAAAATATATATACTGCCAATAATACACATTGTAATCTATACTATTCCATTCTTATAATGTAACAATTAATAATTCTAATTATGCTCCTGTTATTTTTTTCATGGTCTCGTAATCTTACTTTATTCTTTGCTTATCTAAAACATAAACCACGGATCACTCAGATAAAAATCAAAATCAATTTTGTATGTCCACATGTCAGCTTAATGTGGGGTAAAATCCCAATAGGCGTTGGTGAGGTACATTTTAATCACTTACTTTGGTGAAAGTCACGATGACGCCTGGGTCGCAAGTGTCTTTAGAGTACAACTATCTCTGACTTTTAATTGATGAATTCCTGGATTTTACCACGACGGCAAAAGCAGTTCCTCAGTCAGCGAAGAGAGCCCTGGGTCTTATCATTGCTAACAGTAAAGTCCTGGGTGGTCTCCCATACGATGCGTATTCCAAAGTGTATGATGCAATTGTGCTACCTGTGATTACGTATGGCGAATCAGTTTGTGGAACTGGAGAATGTTCTACAATTACAAGATTCAAAACAGAGCGTGTAGACATTTTCTTGGAGTCGTAAAATATACTCCTAATGATGCAGTACAGGGGGAGATGGGATGGACCCCTGTATGTGTCAATCTATGGAAAGCCGGGTTACGTCAGTGGAGAAGATTGATGGTTTGATGCGAAAGTGTAAGAAAAGTGTGTGTTTCGAAGAGAGGACACTAAACGAGCTGAAGATCAGTATTTATTCATATCGTACAAAGAAACAGTCCATAACAGGACAGTATCACAGTGTGGTTGACAAAACAGGTCAACGTATGTATAAAGTATTCCGTGATTACCTTAACATTCAGGCACCAACATAATCAACAATAACAGTGGCAATAAACAACAAATCTCTGAAATCCAACACTCGGACAACAGGTGACATTTCACATTTCAGCAATTCATCTTCCAGATTACCATGGAGACATCTTAAGCGGAGACGAATCTGTTATGAGACGTCGACTGCGCATGCTCTGTTTTTCTCCTGCTGTCCATGACTTGGACTTTACTCGGAAGTGACGTAGTTGTTTGGAGTAATCCTGGTGCATCATGGGGACGTAATTTCTTGGATTGCACTGAGACTGAAAGTTACAAGAAAATACTTATGACCATACATGTGACACAAGAATTCACTGATAACACAACATTCTACCCCAAAAGGGTAGGACAGATAACTTTAAATTTAGAATGTATATTAAAATGAATATTAAAAGGCATGCATTTAAATAAGGACATATTTACATTTGGACCCGTCAGTTTCGAACATTCGCCAACCTACCTGATGTTGTTCATAAAAGGGCTTGTATCCGCCATCTAACAGGTATACTTCCGGGTAGAAGAGGAAAGGGTAACGGTCACTGTTCAGTTTCCGGTCAAGGTTTCTAAGATGTCTCAATCTGTATCAGAAGATACATAGTTGAAATCATTGTTACATAAGATAAAACAAATTAAAAACAAACAAACCCCAAACAAACAATGGGTAGTGCAGTAAACTTATGACCGGACGATCTTTTTCGTCGACTGTTTCAAGTATTATACACGAGAAACAACGTACAATGTATTAACAATAGAAACTGCATCATTAATTTTCATGTGAACAATGATGTAAACGTTTAACGTCTGAGTCCTTTACGTCAACTTTAACTGTGTTTTACGTAAGAAAGAATACTTACAGTTTCGGGCCTCTTTCTGATGAAAATTCACAATGGAAGACCAGGATGTTCCGTTGAGTGGAGTCTCGCCCCTGTAGACTGGTCACTAAGTCTTTGATCAGAGCGTGGGTGTGAAGGTTCTCGGCACCCTGAAGTAAATGATGTAAGAATATAAGCTCAGCAAACTCTTCGCAAAATATTGATGTCAGTTATTTTTTGTGTGTTTTATGCAAAGATATTACATGAGCAAGCAAAAACATAGATTACATTCCATTATACAAACTTAAAGACAGCTGCATACCTCAATGTGACCACCTTCATACTCATATGGGTAACGACAGTCAATGATCCTGTAGCTGGAAATGACGTCATCGTACTCTCCTGTCAGAAGCTGACTGACTGTGTGTGGAGTCACAGACTTGAGATCCTTGTGTCTGCCTTGTACCGTTGGGAGACTATGAACCTGAAAACATAATGGCAACTTGAATATGTGGATTTCCTTCTCATTCAAATAGATTAAGCAGTTCAGAAGATCTATATAATCGATATTAGAATGGAAGGATGAATCCTCAACTAACCTGTGAACCATCACCGATGAGATCAACTTCATTTTGCATTTTGTCGACTGCTGTCTTCATGACCTCTGATGTTACTTCGGCTTGGAGGTTATGTCCACAGCTGGCTGTTTTTTGTTTCTTGATCTGCCTTGCTTGAACATAAACTCCGTCATCACCATTGTCACGTTGTCTCTTCCCTCCGAACAGTGACTTCCTTGTTCCATGGAAACCAGCTTTCCTGTCATCCAAAGGTTTTGGGGACACCTGATGAAGAAACATGCATACATTAAATTTCAATGTTGGCTAAACAATTACATGTAAAATGAATCACACTTCCTTTTTTAAAATCATCTTATTCAACCATTTAAATATTCATTATTCATATCTCTCTATATCCATTGCTACGCATATATCACTATCTGCCTTAAGTAGCTGTTGTCAGTTCGATTATACATAGTTCCACAAACCTCACTGTCACTGCAAAGTGACTCAAAGCCACTATCACGTGAGTCTTCGTCGTCGAAATCAAGGCTCCTTGGGATAAAGACTTCTGGTATACATTCTCTTCTTGCCATTGTGGGACAGATTTCGTCCAACTATTCTGAATGTTAAGAAATATATATCTATGGTCAGGTATTTACAAGTTATGCAGTTGCCAGGGGAATGACGCTGTGTCTTGCATCTGTTGTATATATACCTGCACTAAAACAACATATTTACATAACAACGACAACACTCGTTGATCGATTCGTTGAAAACTTATATAAACATTAACACATTAGAGGAGAACGGTTAAGAATGTGGGCTTGGTGTGAAAATGCGGGATCGCTTGTGTCCCCTGTAGGTATAAGGAGCTACCCATACGAGGGTGTGAGGGGGATTATCCTGGGGTAATCACCAGGTAGGACTTCAAATGTACCGTTAACCCATGTATTGATAACGCGGGGTTCAGTTCGTTGTGGTCGTCCGCTGAATGACAATTAAGGACGATTTGTATTTACCTGGCAAACGAGATGTTTAATTAAGGCGCATATTCAGCGTGGATTTCCTACTGGCTGTGTTAAGGTGTGAAGCTGGATTAGATTCCTGTTTAGGATGTCTTGATAGTTAGATGTCTATTACTATTTAAAAGGAAGCAGATTGAGAAAGTTATTGTTTTTCTTTTATTTCTTCTTCTTCTTCTTTTTCTTCTCTCTCTCTCTCTCGCTCTGTGTGTGTGGTTCTATTGCAGCTTCAGCAGAAACAAAAAAATGATTTGACTTTAAGAGGTGATTACTGTGTATATGTCCACATATTTGCATCTTCATGTTTTCATAGAATATAATAGATGGAAAACGTTCAAAAGCTTCACGTTATTCCGACAATTATTGCTGTAAAGTTTCTTGTTGGACGTTAGACTCACTGTATAAGCACTATTTGATAGTGATGAAGATGTTTTTAGAGATATTATAAGATGATGGACATATTTTCTGTCACTTTATTTTATTTAATTTTGGTATTCGCCTCAAATTCATATACAGTCGAGCAAGAAAGATACAGAGAATGTCACTCGAGTCTCAGTCTTATAATAATGCTGTGGTTATACCACGAATGGGACACCAAGAATGGGCTTCACACATTCGACCAAAATAGGGATTCGAACCTAGGTCTTCAGCATGCCGAGCAAACGACTTGATATAACACTCTTATGGCATTGAGAACATTGCTGGCTGTTCGAAAAATGTACACTAAATATAATCCAAACATGGCTATTTCATACCACCCAGAAAATCAGAACACTGTCCAACTCTGCATATTTGTGATAGATCATTTACCTTTTGGTTGCGAATACTTTTTACATCAATTTTTCCTTAACAAATTGACGTGTTAATAATTAAATGTAAATGACAACAGCTCCAGCATTTGGTGTTTACATTTCGCAACGTTTGAGAAACAATCGAGCATGTTCTTTATACCAAGATTTCAAAGAGCGTCATAAGACTCTTGCTCAGACGTTGTTGTTCTTCCCTCTTACATCCCACATGTGACTAATAAAATCTGGAGTTTTGAATGATTCTTTGCAATGTTTCCCAAATTACTATACACTTGCGATAACAAATGAGTCCAATATTTAATAATTCAACAATACTGATTCACTTTTAATGAATAACGACCAATTTCAGCATGAACAACAATGTTTGAGAAATTCTTGAGAAACCCACCACTTGTCTACAAAACTTGTTTTGTACATTTATGATATTTGGCGATGAATGGAAATCCCAAACTTCACTCCCGTACAATAAAGTTGGAAGACATTTGACATCAAATATATGTAACAATACCTTCGTTTGCAAATTATCAAAAAAACATTGTTGATAATTTAAGGATTAATGACACTTTCCATGCTTGCTCAGCTAAGGTGTTTTGTGTAAAATAACATGATTCTGAACACGAAAAATGGAACCCAAGAACATTTTTGATGAAACTGTTTTCCATTCAGAAGAATGTTTCGGAACGTTTTAATCTGTCAGCCTTTCTGAACACAACTACCTTAATCTATTCAACATCTCCTTTTAGTCCGCATTTATTGCAATACAAAATAACTTGTCTAGCCTCTTTTGTAAACTTACAGCTGAGAGATCAAACGATACAATGTCGCCTAAATAACTCAATAAATTCTAAATTAATACACCTCTGACTGCTGTCTGCATAAGGACTTTCAACAATATCATTAACAAACAAAGAGAAAAGGAAAGGTGATAACTGGCACCCTTGACGTAGCCAAATAAACAATAAAAAAGAAGTGTATCCATCCTTCATTGAAATACAAACTTGAACTTTTTCATACACGCTTCTTAACAATCTAAAGGCCTTGCCTTTGACATTTCCCAGCACAAGTTTAAAAAAAAAACACCCTCTACCTGTCTACAGAGTCAAAGGCCGACTTTAAATCAATAAACTGCCCATAATATTTATATGTATTTATTAAAGATGGTGCTGAGAACAAAAATATTATCTTGGGTCTGAAAACCATATCTTAACCCATCCTGCCCCTGAATGAAAAAATGTTCCCGCTTTGCCAAATGATTTCATCTATTAATAAAAACTTGAGAGAAAATTTTACCCGAAACTTCAAGCACGGTCAATAGTTTGGTGGACAGTCAAATCAACCCTTCTTATAAGGGAAATAATAACTCAATAGGACCATTCAGGTGGATACATACCTGTAGATACAACACTGTTAAATAAAGGTTTTAGCAAATTAATACTTAAATCTAGTTCATTTTCGAAAATTTCAATTGGAATTCCACTATATCCGGGAGCTTCATCAGTTTGCATATCTTGAATTGCATCAATTATATCTTGATAACAGATTTCTTCATCAAAATCATCAAAATCAACGGATGATTCTACGAGATTATCATTAACAATAAAATGTTCCTCATCCGCTGATACATGCAATCCCTGAAAAAGCTGCTGAAAATGATTAATCCATACAGACGTATTGTTGTTGACAAAATTGATTTAACTGTTCTCCAAAATAACTTATTGTCTTTTGCAGAAAGCACATTACAAAGTCGGTCTGTAAAGTTGGAAAATGCCGATGACAACCTAGAAGCACACAACTGTTAAAAGAATGACCACAACTCGTCAATAACATTGTCGATCGCAGTTACTGTTACTAGCTTGAACTCCCTTCGAAGCACTTTCCTTACAAAAGTCTGCACAAGATTGAATGATACAGTTTAACATGGATAACGCCTCAGCACCTCACCATTAACAACATAGTAATTATTTGAACAATTTGCGGGGTTCCAAGAAGCACTAATCATAAAAAGTCATAAAAGGTTAAAATCTTTTTGGGGAAAAGCGAGCTAATTTAAAAACGGTGTTCTACTATAAAATGGTAAATAACAGCCGATTATCATTCTGATCTCGTTCTGGTCCACTTTAAATAATTACTTGCAAAGGAATACTTCCTATTTACAAGTTATTAAATGCAGAACTAAAAACTATGGAAATCATTTTATTCCCACTTGAACGAACTTACGGAACATTTTATCGCCATATTTGAGTAACCCAGGTTCCTCATGATATTTTAAACGAATTATTAATAAAATTGCTGATTGTACACAACAGTTTTACTTTGACTGCGACTAAGACTAAGATGTAGTGACTTGAATGCCTCTAAGTGCGATAGACACATCTGTGAAGGCCCTTCTTGTTCCCGTGGTTCGGTATGCGAGGACACTGCTCATTGTTTCTTAATATGTCCAATTTATAGAACCATAAAGATCAAACTCATACTTCTATACCATGGGATAGTACATCAGCTTGACATCTTATGGCACTTCCCTAGAAATCGGAAATGTTAAACCAAACAAGTTTGGCATCTATACGTGATGATATTAAACAAACAAAAATATTTTCAAATTGATCATTAACCAGTTTATATAGCCTATTACACACACCCGACACACCTTCATCTTATCCACTGGCGTTATCTCCAAGTTATTGCTACCTTTACTGTAATTTCATTTTCGATTGTACGTATTACTGGAAAAGTATTTATATAAGTTGCACGACTTGTTTTCCAATCCAGTCCGTGTAATCGTATGGAAACCACAAAGGTTCATAAAGTTTTAAAACGTAAGCTTAAGATGAAATTTCGAATTGGAAAGGTATCTATTTCAATGTAAGTGCCCAAATTTGGTGCCAGGATCAATATTGTCCAGATTAGTGGAATTTGAACATGTTTTCGATATCATTCATTTACTTCAAAGGACTGACATTGCATATATTATTGTAGCATAACAGGTTCATATACTATGAAATCGTTTTATATAGCAAACCTGTCTAGCAATTGATGCTATTATTTATCATGTTTCAGCAATGAATCTTTTGCCCCAAACATACAGAGAATAATTCAATATAACACAACAGGATTTTAAAGTCTCCCATCAAAGGTTGGGATGCACTTGTTACTGAAGTTACTTGTTCAGATTTGATCAAATAAGTAATATACATTGCAATTTTTCATATTCGTGATAACATTTTCTGGTATAGATTCTAGTTCTTTTTTGGGTTAAGTCCCATCCGGGATTCAA